CGTCCGTCCGTCCGTCCGTCCGTCCGTCCGTCCATCCATCCATCCATCCATCCATCCATCCATCCATCCATCCATCCATCCATCGATCCACCCACCCATTCATCCATCCAGCCATCTATCTATCTATCTATCTCACCGACCTGCTCTGTTACAGCAGAGAGTGACGTATCCGCCTTTCCACCCCCATTCCTCTCTCCGTCTGGTTCTCCTGGGGCATCTCGTTTACGTTTTTCGACTCGGCTCTGAACGTTGACGTAAGCAAACTCAAGAAGCGCCGCAAACACAAACACCAGACACGCTGATAGCCAAACATCTATGGCCTGCAATGTAGAAAGGAATAAACAAAAGATAATTGAATCAACATATAGATACAACGTTGACAAATAAGAAAAGACTAATAGCTCACCATTCCAGTGTTTCCCTCAGAACATCAACAACAACAAGAGCAACACAAACAAGAACAAGAACAAGAAGAATACTTTTCTAGCGTCCCTGGCCCTGCTCAAAAGATATTCTCCCGCCTATGTTTTATCTCAAAAGTCCACGCCCCCCCCCCATCTCTCCGCTCTCGTTTCAAACGAGAACAAAAACGTGCACACAAAACCATCACAAGCAAAACCCCAAAACCCAGCCACCCATCCTGACCTTGACATAAGACACCCTCGGCAGCGCAGCCTTCTCGCCCTGGCTTTGTGTCGTCATCGCCAGCACGGTGAGCAGCCCCAGGGAGACGCGGGCAGGCACCACCTCCATGTCGATCCAGAATGAGAGCCAGGACAAGCTCACAATCAGCACCGACGGCACGTACACCTGCACAATGTAGTAGCCGAACTCACGCTCCAGATGGAAGTCAGCCTGAATACACGAGTAGTTGCCTGCGAGGAAAAAACAAATAACTGTATTAAATCACTGCGCTTACCTACATTAGTGAAAAATGGTGAAATGGTATAGGTTCAACGCCCTTATCAACACTGTTAGGTTATTTAAGAGGCAGGACCTCCGAGTTTAACGTCCAGCTCCCAAAAAGCCGAACCAAGTGGAACATTCGTGTAAAGTGCCTTTCCCAAGGACACAACGTCGGACCGAGCTGAGGCTCGAGCCCCCGAACCTGCATCAGTGTCATGGTCATTGTACAGGTTTAACGTCCCTTTTAGAACTGCAAAGTTATTTAAGAGGCAGGACCTCTGAATCTAACGTCCATCTACGATAGGACCGAGCCAAATGGGTGGAAAGCCTAAAAAACTCACCCAAAACAAACCGAGTTTAGAACGCTCCGTTTGGGAATTCAAATCAGAACTATTCGCTTCGTAGTCCAGCATGAAAACCAACTTAGCTAACAGTACACTTATCTCTTATCCCATGCACAGTGTTTGTAAAGCGAGGAAGAAACAGCAACCATCAAAGACAGAAACGAGTCTTCTTCTACCCATCGGAAGCCAACGACCCCATCAGTGTACTGCGAAAGAGCTCCAGGGCACCCAGAGTACAGCATAGAGTAGTGGCACAGCAGCCACCCTGGTGGAATAGAGAGACTGAGGCATTGTGGAAGATCAAACGCCTGGCGCTGAGAAAACACGAGAAGGGCAGATCAAACGTGCAGTTGAAAGCTGAGAAAAAGCTAGCGGATCTCAGATTTGATGAGGCAGCAAAAGAAGCCAAGGACCTAGCATATGATAACTTCTGCCGCGGCGTGAACAGTGACAGGGCCCTGTATCAGTTCTGGAACTTCTACAGGTGCATGACTAATAGGAAGAGCAAACAAGCTATCTCTGATTTCCAACGAGAGGATGATATGTGGATATACCGATGCGCACTGATGAAGAAAAAGGCCGTGCTCTGTTTCGGAGATACCTAAGACAAACTGACAGGAAAGACGAGGACAAGAGAAAGCAGCTGCTCAACAGGATCCAACAGGACTACAAAGATGAACCCTGCCTGTAATTTGTGACACACGAAATGTTACATAAATATATCCAGGAAGCATCAAACACTTCTCCTGGTCCTGACGGAGTACGTTATAGCCACATGAAGAACATGGAGGAAGGACAGAGAATGGCACTAGCTGAGAGGCTAAACGAAAGCTTGTGGACTGGGGAGATACCTTAAGACTGGCTGGACAGTCACCTGTCCCCAGTTCCTAAGTCAGACAAGGACCCAACCAAGATTGCCTCATATCGCATAGTGACCTTGCAAAATACCGTCGGGAAGCTGCTGGAGAAAATCGTGGCACGCAGATTGGCAATAGAGCTGGAGGAAAAGAACGTCCTACCGCCGGAACTGGACAGCTATAGAAGAGGAAAGATCACATGGATGAATGCTGCCACTCTTGCATCCGACGTATATGATGGCTTCGAACGGGGGGAAGAAACTCTGGTAGCAGCACTTGACCTGGAAGATGCCTACAACCGAGTTCAGTACGACACCCTCATGAGGACTCTAGTCAACCTGAAGGTAGATCCACATTTAGTACTATGGTTTGGGGCAGCGCTACTCAAACGAAAGGTAGCACTACGTCTTGTTTGTTGGGCTTCGCAACCTATCGAGTTCACACCAGGCTTACCACAGGGGTCTGCACTCTCGCCAGTTCTGTTCAACGTTTATACAAAAGGGATTACTTCCAACCAGCTGGAGGGGCCCGACGTGTACTCATTTTGCTGATGATGTGCTGGTGTACAGGTAGGACAAGAACCGCCAGGTTACAGCGGATAGAGTACAGGGAGAACTCGACAGACTTGAACAGTGGTGTGAGGCATAAAACGGGAAACTGCACCCAGACAAATCCTGTGCACTGTGGTGTACACTGAACAACCATGCAGTGCACGATGACATGCCAAGTATCTCGATTGGAGGCAAAGCGCTGAAGAGGGAACCCACTCTGAAGTACTTGGGCATCACGTTCGATCGCACTCTCTCTGGCAAAGATCACATCACGAGAACAATCTCCAGGGCGAGAAAAGGCCTAACAGCCCTTAAGATGATGGCCAGAGCTAAGATGAGTCAAAAAATCCTTGTTATCCTCTACCAGACACTTGTACTGTCTGTCGTAGAGTACGGGCTCGGACCCTTGACCCTATCAAAGGCACAACTGCAACGACTCGAGGTGTTACAAAATGAAGGAATGAAGGCAATCCTGCGGTGCACACGAGATACTTCAACTGAAGCAATGAGATACTTCCTAGACTTCCCATGTGGAGACGAGAGGCACAAAGTGGCACAAGTCCAAGCCTTTCTGCGAGTCAGCGCAGACGAGACGAACCCCCTACATAAGAAAGTGGGATGGCAAAGGACATTAAGGCTAAAGAGGGGCACAGAATGGATGATTCAAGCCACGAACACCATCAACGAGTGCTGCCAGATACAAGACATCAGGAGAGGCAGGGATTGGGTTGTGGTCGATGATGCGATCGGAGAATACACAACAGTGAACGCAACACTGGGTAGAGAATGTCGCAACTGGCAACTTGGAGCTACAAACGCTGACATTGAAACCCTGATAGAAGAGCATAGCGAACATGGAGATGCTGTGATCTTCACGGATGGATCAGTCAACAGAGGAGCTGGGTCTTCAGTGTCAGAGTTGATGGGATAGTAGTGAAAGAGCAAAGTGGAGCAACTGCACTGACAACATCAAGTATGTGTATGGGGATAAAAGCCATGAGTGAAGCTCTACTCTGGATCAAGAACACAAGCCATCAGCGAGCAGTAATCATTACTAACTCAATGAGCACACTACAGAAGGTACAGAAAGGGATGCTGTATGTGGACTGTGGAAGGCTACGATCAGGAAGAGCAGCCTGGAAAAAGTGGCCTGGATCTTCTGCCCGGGTCATGCGGGGGTAACCGGCAACCAGAGAGCAGACAAGCTGGCTGGAGAAGCAAAAGTGGGAGGGAATTTGACACTGGACCCACCAACCGTCCTAACCGCTGTAAAGGAAAATTTGAGGAAGAATAGGGCGGATAGCGGCTCCCACTCTCTAGGGAGATTGAAGGAGAAGGGTATCCAAAGAGGAGAGGGGAAACACAGCCATCTGTGTGGACCAGTCCGACGGATCTCCAACCAGATCATGATGGAGACTATAAGTAGACAGACTCTGGGATGGAACCTGAAGGGGGGGGGGGGAGAGCAGAGATGGACATGTTCCGAAAGCAGTGACCCCAACACAGTGGACAAGTAAGACAAGTAAGTAAGTAAGACACTTATCTCTATGGGTGCACATTGTTTGATTTTCTGTAAAATAGTTGAACACACCAATGCCTGATTTGGTGTCATATTGGGCTACGGTAAGGATTACCCTTGCTGAAATATCCGAGGAGTTGCTTTTGAACTCAAGTCGTTTAGAGATTTGTAAAGGCTTTTCACCCGTTTGACTAGGTTCTATAAGAGACGGACGTAAATTCAGAGAGTCAATCGACATAACTGACAGTCTTTACAGGGACGTTAAAATAACATTGCGATTAAGTTAATAAATATACATGAGACAAAGGAATAAAAGGACGAACTACCAAGTGAGTGAATGAATGAAGATTATCTTTGAGGGACCAAATATATTCAAGAATAAATAAATAAAAGCGCAAATGAATGGATTAACAAATTAACTGACCTTTTTTCTCAGACGAAACTCTTTTGCAGAAAATAAACTGTTTGCATGGAATCGAGTATATTGTTATTGTCTTCAATCAGATTGAACCTTCAGTCATTTGAGACAAGCCACACCCCTGATCTTCTGGTAGGAAAGATCTACACCTAGCCTTCTCGGACAAGTGGAAAAAATCTCGGAGGGCCCGTGTGCAAGTTGCGCACGTTAAAGATCCCTTGGAGGTCTAAAATCGATAAGAGTAGGCTTCGACCGCCACCCGGGCAAAATTAATGTGTCCCGTGCGCTCATATGACCTTATGAAGTTGCGAGCGCCGCAAAAACACTTACAAAAACAAAAAACAAACATTTGAGACAGTCTGGCGCAGTGTTCAATCAGTAATAATCATCGATCATCTGAAATTCTAGTGCATAGTTTAATCAGGGAAAATCACCGACCATCCGAGAGACTAGCACAGTATTCGATCAGACTAACCGCCAATCATGCTGTCCTGGTTGAAATCAAATCCGCACCCTGTGACCTTATCAAAATTCAGGATGAATCGGGGCAAGGTCAAGGCCGGCCTCATGATCACGGGCTGAGAGTGCCAATTGAATTCCACGTTCTCACTACTGTAACTGTCTGCAGACATAAAAATATCATAATAATGACAAAAGCAACAACAGCGGCAATGCCACTATCTACAGTTTTATCACTAGCCTACAGGCGGTAGAGAATCTCCATTACCGCCATCAACAACTTTAACGGCAACAACAATAACGAAAACAAAATCCACTACAAAAACAATAACAACTAAATGGGCAATTTAAACAGAAAAACAGAGCCAAGAAAGAGCAGAAGCAAAAACAACACCAACAAGGAAATCACCAATACCAATGGCAATAGAAAACAACAACAACAACAACAACAACAACAACAACAACAGCAACAACAACAGCAACAACAAAACCACCACCACCACCACCACCACCAGCAACAACAACAACAATTACTACTGGTACTACATTAATAGAGCAGCAGCAATAGCACTTGCAGCAGCAACGCAAAATGACCGTGTTTACTCGTATAAATAAATAGTCATTTAATGAAGAAAAGAAAGCTTATCTGCAAACATCTCTTTCCTTTACAAGGCAGGATTGTGTCTGACACAGACACCTAAATCTTGACCCACAGTTTTATTACAGAGAGAACAAAAGTAACTGCTCCCTTCCCGAACCCCCCCCCCCCCCCAAAAAAAAAGAGTTTTTAAAACTACAGCTTTTCAAACTTTTAAGCTTTTAAGAATAAATTTGATAATTATCTTCTTTTTTTGTCTACATTTTTATATAGTTAATGCAATTGATTACTTCCTGGTACGCACCGCAAATCAAAGATTCTATACTAGTAAAGGATTTTCATCACAATCAGCATTTTATGGGGAGGTCTAGTCTAATTTGCCCTCTACAACATGGTGACAGGATATAAAAAGAAGACCAATATAACATAAACGCTAGCTTAAGATGTGATAGAGGGGACGGTACCTACCGTCATTACGGAGCATGAGATTAATATTATGTAGCGTGCAGGCTAAATTATGGTTGGAATGGCTGTAAATGTCTTACGCCCACCCCCGCCCCCAAACCTCCCTACACAATTTGGGTGAGTTAGGAGGCGGGGAGTTTTGACCCTATCAGCAAGAGCCAATCTAGACTGAGTGCGGTAAACCTTAAAAAAAAAACCCCGGATATTCTTCATGAACTAAAGTTCCCCCGTCGTGATAGGGACTGACTATTGATTTTAGACTTAATAAACCACAAGCAGCTTCGCTAGTGGCCACAGCAACGAATCGACCATCACAACAGGCATAGAGGGTAAACTACTGCAGCACGAGTGTTCACTGGTCGCTTCGCTTGTTTATCTCTTGTTGTTTTTCCCTATTGTTCTCAACCTCACAGCGGTGGGCCTCAGTTTCAAGGGAACAATAGAATGAGCCGGTCTGTTTAGTTTGTTTTGCTTGTTCTGAGTGGAAACGTATGGGTTGTGAGTGTACCTTGTTGTTGTTGGGGCCCGTCTGTTTGTGTTGTGTGTATGTGAGAGCGCCTGTTTGTGTATTCTTACCCTCTTTTCATTCGTCCCTTTCTCTGTTAATTAACCCTCTCTCTCTCTTTCTCTCTCTCTCTCTCTCTCTCTCTCTCTCTGTCTCTCTCTCTCTCTCTCTGTCTCTCTCTCTGTCTCTCTCTTTCTCTCTCTCTCTCTTTTCGCTGTTTGGCTAAAGTAATTCTTCCCTTACACAATGTCTTCTGGACAATCACAATCGGAGGTGGTATCCGCCCCTCCAGTTTTTTTTCTTCGGCAGGAAGTGCCAGAGGACGTCACCCACGTCGAGATCTGTGAAGCAGCAGAACGGTTGGTGGGGTTCGGGGGAATAGTTGGTGCCCAGCATCTCGGAGCACTCTGGCGCCTATACCCCGCTAACTCAGCAATCAGGGCGAAACTGGTATCTTCCACGTTCACGTTAAGAGGTAAGGTAGTACCACTAAAGTCTCAGAACCCTCTTGTCATCAGGGACAGTCAGGGCAATGAGGTTCCAGCGACCCGCCTCACCATTGATGGACTCCCGGTCTCTGTGGCGAGTGCGGACCTCGAAGGCTACCTCCGCAAGGCTGGTGTGAAGTTCCGGTCACAACTGCTGTGGGAAAAAGCCCGCAACAGGGAGGGTCAACTGACCAGGTGGGTGACAGGACGCAGATTCTGTTGGATTGATCTACCATCTTCCCCTCTCCCTAACAGGCTCCACGTAGGTTCATTCCTGGCTAAACTCTACTATAGAGAGCAGCCTAAACCTGTCATTACATGTTTTGCGTGTGGTGAACAAGGGCACCGCAGAGGAGACCCTCAGTGCCAGACAGTTGGTAAGGCTGCCGAGGAGCCTGCCACATTGGAAGCTGGTACTTGCCAGGAAGCGGCTCCCCCACAAGTAGGGAGTGGGATCACCCATTCCTCTGAGGGTGACAGTGAGTCCTTGAATGGACGCGAATCCGAAAAATCTGAGGTGAGCCAATCGGAGGAAGACAACTCTGATTCGGACCAATCTTTAGGAAATTTTTAAAAAGTGTCGGTGAAGAAGAGTAAGAAAGATAAAGGCCGGGAAAGGCAGACCTCTAAGACTTGCCTAGCCCCTGAAAATAAGGGTGACCGTGGTCGCCAATCAATAGTACAACCTACTCTTCCCGAAATTCTCTCCTCAGGACAGCCACAGCGGTCCAGCAGCAGGAAGAGAGTGGAGCCGCTGAGTCCCGAGGATGAGGCACCAACATCGCGGCGCTCGAAGCGTTGAGGAAGGACGGACCACGATGACGACGATAATGCCTGTACAATCGGACTACGAGAACGAACAGCGATATGGCGGGTAGAACCAGACTGGATTTAGATGAACCACTCAAGGTAGGAACATTAAATGTACGGGGATTTAAAAATCATAAGAAACGATCAGCAGTCTTTAAAAATTTTCGGTCTGAAAAATTAGACGTAATAGGTATACAGGAAAGTCATTTATTAGAGTTAGATCAAAATGAATTATTAAAGCAATGGGGTGGTGTTATACAAAGGTCTTGTCACCTTGTTTAATCCATGTTTTAATGTGAAAGATATAAATATAATCTGTAGGACTGATAGGATCTTAATATCTTCTGTTGTGATGGGAAGCGAAAAATTGTTCTTTATAAATGTTTATGCACTTTGCGAAATAAGGGAAAAAATAGCATTCATAGACGAGCTTAGTACTCAAATAAAGCAATATTTGGCTGATGAAGGCAACGGAAATATAATATGCATGGGGGATTTTAACATAGCTGTTGGGGAGTTAGACATAATTTCGGGAGCGGAGCATAGGAAGGATATATGTCAATATTTTCAAAACTTCATACACGCTGTAAGTCTGACAGATTCATGGAGATCTCTGCATCCCTTGGAAAAAGCCTACACGTGGAGCAGAGGTAGCCCAATGATTGCCAGACGACTTGACTATATTTTTGCTGGTGAGTCTCTTGTCTCTGCTATAAAAGAGTCCGTTATAAAAGGAATAGGTTTTAGTGATCACCGTATGGCAGTGAATTTGTTTGAGTTTTCAAATTTCAAGTTTGGGAAAGGGCAATATAAACTAAATACTGAACTCCTTAAAGATCCAGCTTATTGTAAAATAATTATAAAATGTATACATTCTACTAAAGATGAATACAAAGATGTAGACCCCCATTTACGATGGGAAATGATCAAATGTAATGCAGCAGAAATTTCCCAGCAATACAGTCGTTTCAAAGCAAGAGAAAATTCATACAAACATAAGCTACTGAAATCACGTCTGAACTTCTTAGAAGAAAAATTGACAGTGGATCCTGATAACAAATATTTTTGGCAGGCGATTGCAAAGTCCAAAAGTGAACTGGAAATCGATGAGTTAAAGAAAGCGCGGGGGGGCCAGCTGAGAGCGGGTTTAAAATGGGTAGAGGAAGGCGAAAAATGTTCCAAATACTGTTTATCTCTGGAGAAATGTACGTCCAACGTTAATACCATTAAAAACATCCAAAACGCCTGTGGGGAGCGCATCCACAAGGAAACGGATATCGTAGAAGAAATCGGCAAGCACTACGAAAACGTTTACAATAAGGTTGACAGTCGTAATAAATCGTTTGATTTTGTTTCAGAACGCATGGATGCATTTACTAACAACATACATCTTCCTAGTTTATCAGATGATGAAAAGGTGTTTTGTGATGCCCCAGTACTGGAGAATGAGGCAGCAACAGCCCTTAAATCAATGAAGCATGGCTCGGCTCCGGGATGCGACGGTCTGCCAGTGGAGTTTTATCAAGTATTCTGGGAGCATATTAAGGACTCTCTTATGGAAAGTTATAACTACAGTTTCCAGATCAACAAGCTGTCTCCATCAGAAAGGGTAGGAGTAATTTCTTTACTGCATAAGGGCAAAGGTCTCTCTTCACATAGCCTCAATAACTGGAGACCAGTTTCCCTAACAAATACAGATTACACAATTTTAGCTAAAGTTTTATCCATACGTCTTAACTCTGTTATAGATAAGCTCATTGGGGAACAACAAACGGGATTTGTGAAAGGAAGACATATATCCATAATTCACAGAGAGATTGATGATATTTTACATAGACACAAAACCACAGATGCACCAGAAATCATTCTTACGGTAGATTTTAAACAGGCATTTGACTCTATAAACACCCACTGTATCCTCAAAAGCCTAGATGTATTTGGCTTTGGCCCAAACTTTCGAAAGTGGATTGAAATATTAAATACAGAAAGACTCTCGTGTGTAAAAAATGGAGGTTATGTCTCGAGGACATTCCCAATGAGTAACGGTGTTCGACAAGGCTGTCCGATTTCACCACAACTATTTATTCTTGCTGTTGAAATTTTAGCCCAAAAAGTAATCCAGAACAATACCATAAGTGGTATCAACACCTATCCGGGTTTGGAGTCTATTAAAATTAGTCAGTATGCAGATGACACAACTTTATTCCTAAGGAATGCCGATGATTTGAGAAGAGCCATGTCCGTTCTGAATGATTTTTCGGTCATTTCAGATCTGCATTTAAATTTGAATAAATCTTATGCCATGTGTACAAATGGCCAAGCCGCAACTATAGACGAATTTCCGATTCAGTTTGTTCCAACCATTAAAATTCTTGGAGTATATTTTAGCAGTACAAAACCGGCGGAAGAACTAGAAGAAAACTGGAAGCCCAGGATCGATACCCTCCTCAGAATTTTTGGGAAATGGGCAAGAAGAGATCTATCAATTCTAGGGAAAATGCACTTAATTAAAACTTTTGGAATAACGCAGTTTCTTTTTGTAATGCAAAGCATATCGTTACCAGAAGATGTCCTTAGCCAAGTGAGCAGAATTTTTTTTAGATTTCTGTGGAAAAAGCGTTTTAACAATAAAAGGGCTTTTGAAAAAGTTAAACGGAAGGTTATGTGTAACGAGCTTGAAAACGGAGGTCTGAAAATGATTAACATGACTAACTTTCAAGATTCCATTCTCTTGAGCTGGGCGGAGGCACTTCTTGCTCCAAAAGCGCAACGATGGAAAAGTATGGCAGTCGCTGTACTCAAAGATGTTGGTGGGTTGCAGGTTTTTAGAAGCAAGGTAAAAGCAAATAAATTTAAAGGGCTCGACGCTATACCAAGTAAGTTTTGGAGAAGAGTGGTAATTAAATGGTTAGAATACTCTAATAAAGACACAGACTATGTCCTCTCGTTAAACGACTCTATTTTTAATAACGAATATATAATCTATAAAAATCAAACCCTCTTTTTACCATCTTGTATACAAAGGGGCATTTTAGCAATAAAGGATATAACTACCCAGGATAGACGGTTACAGTCTTTAGAAGAGTTCAGAGAAAAATATGGATGCAATCCACGTTGTGTTTTAGACTACAATATTATATCAAATGCGATGAAGAATGTGTATTTTAATGATGAAAAGGATGACAACTTCTATTTCAGGGACACAATTGTAGGTACTATAGAGAGAAAACGTTTTCTTTTATCATTAAGTAAAATTGAGCCACCACTGTGCATAGGTATTTGGAAAAGGAAATATGGCGTTGATATTAATGAAAAACATTGGCAAATAGTCCATCACGCTAAGGAAACACGTTTGAGAACATTAAATTGGAAAGTACTACATAATATTTATCCCACAAACATATTACTCTTCAAAATGAAATTAAAGGAATCTCAAAACTGCGCATATTGTAATGAGCCTGATTTTATAGAGCATTTTTTTTTAAATTGTAAGAAGGTCCAGCCACTTTGGAGAGAAATTGAGAAAGATTTACAGGTCCACCTAGGTACATCAATTGTAATTAATGAGAAAATAGTTTTACTTGGGGCAGTGAAGGGAATCGATGTAGGTCATCGGGAATGGGGGTTAACAAATGCAGCTATTGCAATCGGAAAATTAACTGTATCTAAATATAAGTATGGGAAAGCAAGACATATCATAGAAATTTATCAGAGTGAATGTAGTCTCAGACAATTGTGGGCTAAGAGCTAAAGGCTAGGCTTCCAGTCTCCATCTCATGCCACTTTTGTTTCGTCCCCGCATGAGAGCGAGTTTAGTGGATGACTGTTATATACAGCTATGTGTGTGTGTGTGCAAATGTGTGAGTGTGTGTTTGTGTGTGTGTGTGTGTGTGTGTGGTTGTGTGTGTGCGTGTGAGTGTGCGTGTGTGTGTGTGTGTGTGTGTATGTGTGTTTACGTAATTTAATTATGCAATTTGTACTTCTTAACATCTCTTTGCCTTTATTATACTCGTAGTCAGACTTAATGGTGCCATTCGCGGTCGCGTGTCATCACATGGGGTTAGAATAGGGAAGTAATTTGATATAACATTTCCTACACTTAATACTAACTAGTTTGTCTTTCCATTTCATTAATAGTGGCCTATAAATGTTCTATCTCTTTGGAGACGGGGACTTTTTATGCCCGTGGTGTCTGAGTTGTCGCTGGACGCAACTTCGCTTCCGGTCCTCCAGTACTGCGTGTTGCTTTTTGTGTGCATTAATGTATTGATATACTTGTGGTGAATTTGCTGATCACTCTTTAGGAAGAGGCAATCCTGTAATTCTCTGGTCGTCTAGGCATGGTTTTTCAGGCTTTTTACATGCTCCGACGACCACAGAAGTGCCTCGGGACCGGTTGCGAACGACGATAACGATAACCTGTAAGCACACAAGTTAGTCTGCTTTGACTATGAAAGTTAATTTTTACGAAGATTATTGGCCACATTCCTTTCACTGTTTTGAAAATATGATAGCATAGACGTAGGGTAACAAACACACTAACAATGTCATCACTTAGAAGCGGCCCCCATGTGATTTTTCGGCCTACTTTTATTAAATGCTAGGGATGAAGATGACGAATTATTTCCAAATTTTTGGTCACTCTATGCGAGGAGTTGGGAATGAGGGTTGTGTCCTGCCCCCCAGGACAGCCTGGCGGGGATCTAGAGTAAGCACCAAACAAACTTAACACTAAGACTAACACGCATGTCATTTCCTACATCGGAACATCATCATCGCCAACATAAATAATCATCCTCATGCTCACTATCACAATTACCATTACCGTCACCATCGCCAACAACATCATCATCATCAGCAGCATTATCATCATCATTATCATCATTACCGACTCAACAATTCCCCTTTCATATAACAATCTGCACCATTACTTTCTTTTTACGTAACCAACAAAAACGGGCATCAAAATCAGGACACGGGAAAAAAAAATTAAAAAAATAAAACTACTGCAGCAAAAATTGCATTGGCAATGTAGACGGAACAGTGTTTGCTATTTGAATGATGAGCACTTACAGCTGCCTAGTACGATTGAACATGTTTGTTCATCGTGGGGGTATCGTTCCAGGAACATGTCACAGCTCAGCGTCATGGAAACCCTGGTCGGAGAAGAAGAAAGGGTGAGTGACTTTTTGGGGGCTGTTGTTGATGAAGATGATGTTGGTCTCTTACTGATTTTGTGCTTCTTGTGTTGTTATTGTTGTTGTTTTTGTTGTTGTTGCAGTTGCTGTCGCTGCAACTGCTGCTGCTGCTTTTTATTTTGTTGTTGCTGCTGCTGCTTCTTATGCTGCTGATGTTATTAGTTTTGTTGTTGTTGAAATCTTTCAAAGTAAAAAGTGAGTACTTTCAAAAGGCAGAGTACGAGGGCCCTTGACAGGAAATCTTCGGTCTTAAATGATCAGACAGTCATATTAGGACTTCAGAATATCCATGAATTTGTAGTGAAGTCTAAATGGACTCTATTGATCTAGTCAGCGAAGCTAGTATCTCTGAGAGGAGAGAGAGCGAGAGAGAGAAAGAGAGAGAGAGAGAGAGAGAGAGAGAGAGAGAGAGAGAGAGAGAGGGGGGAGAGTGAGAAAGAGAGAGAGAGGGAGGGAGACAGGGAAAGAGGGAGAGAGAGAGAGAGAGAGAGAGAGAGAGAGAGAGAGAGAGAGAGAGAGAGAGAGAGAGAGAGAGAGAGAGAGAGAGAGAGATCAGCCTAAGCAGTAATATCAAGCCTTGAAATCTTTCATGAATATATTTGTACTGAATTCTAAATGGGCTCTATTGATCGAGTTCATTACACTTTCCCCTTTTTCCAATACATCAAACAACGAATAGGAGACATTCAAAGATTGAAAATCACGAGTCCCGCTGTTAATAAGCGGTAAGGGAAACGTGGTTCTGTATTTAATTCGAAAGCCCCTCAGCAAAACCATTTTTGTTAACAGGGGCGAAGGCTGACTTGTTTGACAGGGTAATCAAAGTGAAACGGGACCAGATATGGCCTGGGGATATCGCACAAGAACCTTGCTCGAGACGGCAACTCAGAGTTGTGAATGAAAACAAATCCGGAATTCATTATTGTATGTTCAACCGCCAAAATAATCGGGAAAGTATCTCATTAAATATCAATTCCAATTAAAATTAAATTTCACTTTAGATGTGAATACACAAACACAACGCAAGCAAAGAAGCAGAGATGTCAGTACTAGATCCTTAACTGTTTGGTAGAACATGACAATTATCATTTTTTAAATTTCTCATTTGGCTGTTTTTTGTCTAGCCTTTCGCGGCCACGAGCCTGTGTCATAAGCGAGGTCACGATCTGATTATAGGGCAGTAAAAAGTCGAGGAAAATAAACAAGCTCTCGCGGCAGTGAGAGATTATTAGGAGTTAGTTCCCCTCACATCTGTGAGGTAGACTCGATCAGTGTAATAGTTAGCTTACCTAATCAGTGCTTGAGACTGATTATAACTGTGGCCCGAAAGGGGTGAACAGGGTATATGTGGCAATGAAACAGTTTAGACTGCTATGCACATGTTCCCTTCAACTATGTTGGTAGACTCTTCCAGTCTCACTTTAAGCTTACTTAATCAAAGCTTGTGACAGCTTATGGAGTGGCCCAAGAGGGGAGAACAGGCTATTTCTGTGGCAATGGAACCGCTTAGAATGTTAGACATACTGTTCATTGTTGATTATGAACGTCTTTTTACATTTCATTTATGAAGTTTACGTTTATGGGTGAATTTGACTGCGACAATGTTTCAAAATTAGGAAGGGAAGCAGTGATTATTTGATTATATAGACGCTTCGCCTTTGTTTGTTAACCAGTTATACAAATTAAAAGCGAAACTTTTTCTTTAAATTGATATCTGTGCCAAAATAGCAGCAGCTGCAGCAGCAGCAGCAACAACAACAACAACATCTACAACAGTAACCACGACAACAACTACAACAGCAACAGCAACAGCAACAATGACAACGACAATGACAACGACAACAACAACAACAACAACAGCAACGACAATAACAACAAAGACAGCAACAATAGCATGAAAGAAAGTGGCGCTCCTGATGGAAATAATTCATTATTAGAAATATGGTAGAATGTGAACATTTCTGTGCAAATTCTAGATCAGACTTGACATGGCCTTATTTTAGCAGTTGGGAATATCACGTGTCTAACCAGCACTCGTTTTTCAGCCACTGCAGTGGTACTAAGATATAGCCTAGTATTTATTCCATAGTTCAAGCCCTCCATTCATTCAGTTATCCATTCACTAATCCCTACAATATCGCCACTACCTCTCTTTCTTCTTTTCTCTATGTTATTCTCTGGTAACACATCTAGGCTTCGACATTTACATGACCTGACTGTGTTGCAAGTGCCATAATACTCTTATTAAAACTTAACTAAAACCATTGATACTTATTATATCAATGCACGTGGCGCTTCGTACATTCCTCCATCCATCCATCCATCCTTCCTTCCATCCGTCCATCCATCCTTCCATCCACCCCTCCAGTAGACTTTCCGTCCGCCCGTCCGTCCGTCCATCAGTCCGTCCATCTATCTATCAAGGAGTATCAATCACAACCGATTCCCTTTCTGTTCATTTGGTTCCTTTATCCTTTTAAGCTGCACGAACAAGTGCACACATGGCGCAACTTTAAAAAAAAAAAAAAAAAAAAAATTGCAACCTCTGTTGTGTCTGAAGATAAAATCCCACAGAGGTGTATAATCGACTGTTTAGCTTTATGTACTTTAAGGTTAATTAAAAGTTATCATGGTATGACATTCCATTTCAACATGATGCCTCGGGCATTGCCTTTATAAGCCTCCCCATGGATATTTCAGCCGATGAACTCTCTCTCTCTCTCTCTCTCTCTCTCTCTCTCTC